GTACGGTTTCTAACAGGAGGGTGCTGCTTAGCCAAGACCACTACAGAATGGAGTGCTCTGGCACTGCGGAGGAGGCAGAAACCAGGAGCTGTGCTGCAGGCCTTGAGTCTGTCTTTCTTTTGGTAAATGGTGGTCTCGCCTTCCCTCTGTTGAGGATAGACATCCATCTTCAGTGCCTCTGTGGTGGACCACACAGACGCAGCATTTGGGACGCTGTTGGTTTTGGCCAGTGCAGCTACAGAAGGGGATGTTGAGGCATGGGGGCAGCAGGTGTTCCCTGTGACAGATAAAGCTGCAGCAGATAAGGTCACAGGCCAGAGCCACCATGCAGGTGGCAAGCTGGATGCTTAGGATGAGCAGCTTCTTGCATCTTGTCTCCTCTGTGGGCATTGTCATTCTTCCATCTGCTCCAAACAGGGGAAAACAGGTGGTAAAACACAGAAATTTGAAGAGCGTGTATCTAAAGCAACAAATTATTATTAAGTGTCACTTCTCCAGATATCCTGCTTTTCTTATCAAACAGTGCAGAAGAGGCCAGCAAGGTCATGTGATGCGGGAATGCATTTGTTGCAGCACGTCACCGGGTAGGAGAGACTGTGGCAGTGAGCATCAGTGCAGGAGTGAGATACCTTTGGCGGGGTGGACAAAGGGCTGCTGCATGGAACATGTCTCCAAATGCAGTGCAGCCTCACTGTCCTGCATGTGTGAGTTTGTGAGATGCATGTGGTTAATCTCTTCAGACAGCAGTTGCAATGTGGAAATGTCCTGTCTGCTTTTACAGCCTTCACTGTAAATGACATAAATACTCTGACCATGAAGTATTAATTTTATCTTCCTACAAAAAAAGGCTTGCGTATGCACCGTCATACAGTAGCCACCAAAACCAGATTGCAAAACTGAGGATATGTATATGAATCATTGCTGGTATGGAATGATGGCATTTATAGTCCTTGCTCCATCTGGAATGTGGCAACTCACAGGACACATGTTTTAAAAGGAAAGATGAAAGATTGCTTATTAAACTAACATCCTTCAGAGTTCACTGAAAATGCTTGCACTCTTATAATTTGTTTTTTGGTTTATTTTTGTAGATGGGGACCAGTGCAGCTCAAATCCTTGTCACTATGGTGGACATTGTAAAGACGGAATTGGTTTCTATACTTGCTCATGCTTGGATGGTTATCAAGGCAAGAACTGCGAATTTGGTAGGTTTCTGCTTTAGGAAACTGTGACAGTGAATTTCCCAGGGAGCTGAAACAGAGAGAGTTAACTCACTCTTAATGAGCATTGGTTGCCTCTTGGAAAAATGCATAGAATAGGATGGCAGTCAACAATGAATTGGAGGACAGTGCCAGAAGCACAAATCTCTGGTGGCTCTACAGCTGGGTAGTGTTAGAATTGTAGAATCACAGAATAGTTTGGGTTGGAAGGGACCTTTAAAGGTCATCTAGTCCAACCACCCTGCAGTGGGAAGGGACATTTTCAACTAGATCAGGTTGCTCAGAGCCCCATCCAATCATGAATGCTCCTCTTAATTATGATAGTGCCTCTTTACATGAGCTTGAATCCCCAAAACGTGATGATAAAACTAAGAAACATAGGATTCTTATAACTGATTTCGAAGAGCTTTTACTCCAAGTACAGAAGTACAGCCTCCCTGCTCAGCTCACAGCAGTGAAGAACCAAAGAAAGTAGATTTCAGTAGACAATGCAGACTTTCTCAGCCTTGCAAGGAATTGTTTTTTGCATATAAATCCTTCCTGAGTCTCACTTCTGTGACATACATCTACTACCCTAATTATGTCATTGGAGCATGTATCAGTAGCCCAGAAGTTAGAGTGGTGAGCCCAGACTAAAAGGGTGTGGAACCGAAGTTCAGACACAGGACTGAGGGGAGTGATGAGGAGTTGAGTTTTTTAAGGCGGGAGGGAGGAGTCGTGCAAGGATTTACTAATACCTGGACTTCTCTGTTAGTGTTTTATCCATTCTTCCACTGTCATTTTGTCTCTGCTTTTTTAAACTCGCCATGACATGGCCACTGGGCCCTCTTGGACTTGGAAAGCATGTTTCATGGGGTGGATGTGACTGCTTTTTAAGGCATAAGCTAATGTTAGCCACTCGTGTTGTTACTAAGATGTGCTTCAGGTGTTTTACAGGTGGAGATACAGATCCTGTTTAAAGAGTGTGGTTTAATTTGGTGAACTTCGAGATCTTCTATGAAGTCAGTGTTTATTTACAGTTTTTCTCCAAACTTACCTCTTTTATAGTCATACCAAAGTACTGCAAAATAAACAATGGTGACTGTGAGCATTTCTGCAGCATCAAAAAAAGTGTACAGAAGGATGTTTTGTGTTCCTGTGCAAAAGGGTATGTTCTAGCAGAGGATGGCAAACGCTGTGTTTCATCAGGTATGAAGCCACGTAATAAACTAATAGCAATGGTGGTGAGACCTGTTTCACAGTTAAAGAATGTCTTTTGAACCATCATTATTCTACATGACATAGACTTAACACAGAGGCCAATTGATCTGTATTTCCAAAGTCTTCCATGTGTGAGGTGATGTGATGGACTTATCAAAATCTAGCTGATGTGGAACCCTTTGCAAGGTGCCTCTCTCAGAATTACCTGACTATACTCCGCTATTGACAGGAGAAAAGCAATTGCAGTTGTATCTCATTTACTTAAACACTTACACTCCATGTAAAATAGCAGCTCACCAAAACTTTTCTTCTGGATTTCAGTTAACCTAATCAAATAGTAACTGTATGTAACCTAATCAAATACTAACTATAGTATCATTAAAATAATTCAATGACATTAAATAATTACGATTAATGCTATTTACATTTGTACATTTTTGTTGTATTTCAACAAACCTATGGGGAGGGATAAGTCAACCATATACTCATGATGTTGGGTTTTATATCCTTTATAACTAATAAGAAATTGCTGTCATGAGCCATATTATTCCTACAATAAAACACTCAGTTTCCTAATTCCTAAACCCATCTTAATAGACGGGTTTAGTAAGAGCAAGTACATGAATATAGCAATGTAAACAATTGAAGATGATGTTTTAAATTTTAAATACCTTGAAAATGCTGTCCAGAGACTGAGCCCGTGGACAAGTTTTAGGACTACAAAATGGCTTTCCTTTTTCAAACCATCTGGTCTTCCTCCTTTGTTACATCTGCCAAGGTTTTGCTAGTGTTTTGAAAACAGGACAGCCGCATTTACTGATTTATTGTGAGATGGTGTTGTCAAGGAGTTTCCTCTTGTGCTGGTTCTGTCCTTCTCTAATTTTAACATTCTTGTCTTTACAGTGAAGTATCCTTGTGGAAAAGTTTTTGTAAAAAGAAAAAAAAGGTCGGTTTTTTTACCTGCTGATAATAGCAATGTAAATAGTGATCAAGATGGCCTTCCCAAGAATGGAACAAGTTTGGAGGAGGACATTCTTACTACCACAGAAAGCCCAACCACCCGTCCTGGCAATGGAACAAGTATCAAGGGTTCATTTGTGCATACCAGGATAGTAGGTGGTGATGAATGTCTTCCTGGCGAATGTCCATGGCAGGTAAATCTGGTGTTTGTGCTCTGCATGTAAGCAGAACGTGTTTCTGAGGGAAAGTGTGCAATTGTTCATTTAACCTGGTTGCCTTCTGAATGTTACCCATGTAGTATGCCATTTGTAGCTGGAGGTAGCTGAATTGCGTGAACCTAGGCACTTAGATCTGCTGTTCTGCAAACTGCAGCCTTAGATTTCAAAATGAAAGGCATTGTGCAATTTTAGACAGTGCTGCTTAACCTGTCACCAGAGAGGGCTTGAATCATGCTGGCCCGCCAGTGTCATTTTTGCAGGTTATATTCCAGTTCTGCCTGATAGCAGTCCATTTAGGTAGTATACCTGAGAGCATGGCATATAAAGCATGTGTTTGCTTCACAAATACACTTTCATACCTAAGTTTTCCTCTTGAGTTTGGACCAGCCAAAATGAGTTCGTGTATTCGGGACACTAAGCGGGGCAAACAGGAGCAGAACTTGGACAGGAATTCTTTGGGGTGGTAAGCTCAAGAGATGGGGTGATTTGGGGGCTGCGCTCTCCTGCTCAGTCAGTCAGTGTCTTGTTCCTAAAAGACATTACTAAGCACTGTGGGTGAGGTAACATGGAAGCCAAACATCTACTTCACATGAAGACAATTGAGACTCCATAGCAGTACATGCCCATCTGTAGCATATGTGTGTGTGAATGCAATATTAGGAGAGACCTGCAGGGTAGTACATGTCACAATAATAAGCATATATATGTAGTGTGCAGAGAAATCAATTCCCTGCTTATAGCTCATTGACGTTAAACTACTCTTCTTAATTCTGCACTTAACTCTTTTCTTTCACAGGCTGTTCTGTTAAACGAGGCAGGGGAAGAGTTTTGTGGTGGAACTATTTTGAATGAATATTTTATACTTACTGCAGCTCATTGTATGAACCAATCTAAAGAAATCAAAATTATTGTTGGTAAGTGGTTATTTATTTTACTCCTGTGATGTTTAAGCATATGTTGCAGACTAATCCTCTGTGCTCTAAATCTCGTGAGAGATGTACTCATATTACTTTATTTGTTATGGTTTGTTACTTTTTTGTTGTTGTTTTGCTTTTCATAATTTCTTGTTATTGTGAGAATCCTGCTTTGCAATAACAGGGGCAGCTGGTGTGGAAGGTGATAACGGTGCATCCCTCACTTCTTTGCCAGGAAGTGATTAAGAACAAATGTTCTAGAAGTGTCGGCTAGTATTGTGTTCATCAGAGTAGTGCTTCTTCAGAAAGCTTATCATTCATGGCACATCTGAAGCATACAGATCTGTTTCTGCAGGAACACTCAGGAGAGCTATGACACGTTGACTAGAGGAAGAAGAAACAAACTCAAATTATGACAACTTCTGAGGCATGATACTAGATCAACACAACTTTATATTTGCACTGTTTTAGCATTGACCCAGACCAGTTTCTCTTCCCTGATATAAGCTAGGCTCAAACTCCTGTAAGAGCTTCCACCCAAGTTGCATTAGTTTAGCTGAATCGGTTTATGCCTTTATGTAAACTGGTACAAAAATCTCCATTAGCAAAAGCTAGGAACTGAAACTGATCCAGGTGCTGCTAATAAATACTGCAATACATTTTTACAGTTTACTTGTATGGTATAAAGGCTTAGGCAAAGTGTTAGGAATGGGTATACTACTCTCCTTCTTTATCAAGGTTGTTCCTAATTTCTTATACTATCTCCATATTAATGACCCTTTTACTACTCTTGTACAGGTGAAGTGGACAGAGAAAAGAAAGAACACTCTGAAACGATGCATACTGTGGACAAAATACTTGTTCACTCTAAATACATTGCCGAGACTTACGATAATGACATAGCCTTAATAAAGGTGAAGGAACCTATAATGTTTTCTGAGTACATTATCGCAGCATGCCTCCCCGAAGCAGACTTTGCTAATGAAGTTCTGATGAACCAAAGATCTGGGATGGTTAGTGGCTTCGGGCGTGAATTTGAAGGTGGACGACTGTCCAAAAAACTGAAAGTGCTTGAAGTCCCCTATGTTGACAGGAACACTTGCAAGCAATCCACTAACTTTGCAATAACAGAAAACATGTTCTGTGCTGGTTATGAAACAGAGCAAAAAGATGCTTGTCAAGGAGACAGTGGAGGCCCCCATGTAACCAGATACAAGGATACTTATTTTGTTACTGGAATTGTTAGCTGGGGAGAAGGATGTGCAAAGAAAGGCAAGTATGGTGTCTACACCAAAATGTCCAGGTTCTTACGATGGGTAAGAACAGTCATGAGACAAAATTCGTAGTGGTGTGGCTTTTGATCCTTCTGTTAGCTAACAAGGTGCAGTTTCTGTAACGAAAACTTTATTCTTTTGGGGTTTTTTTTAGCCACATCTGCTAAACTTGTTTTGAGAGCTGGTTGCTTGAAGTTACGGTGCTGCTTCTTTTTGTTTTATTCCTGGCTTTAAGCATGTATATGCGGACTGCTGGTGTTATTTTGAATTTGTACGATGAGGGGCTTTCCCCAAACAAAATGGCTGCTCAGTGGGGTCTTTTGTTTGCTTGTTTGATTATTTTAATATTGCCATTTTGGTTCCTGTCTGTTTGCCCAAGTGCTTCCACCAGAGGCTCCTGGACATAATACGAGCCTCCACTAATCATGATGAAAGTGGGAAGGACAGGACTTCAGTTAATCCTCATATTGCAGCCAGCTGGCTCAGTAGGGAGTTTGTTATTACTAGAGCTGTTTAGCTTCTACCCAGAGATGTATTTAGAAGATTAAGGGAGCAGGGAAGCTTGCATGGTAAAAGCTGAGGCACAAGTAGGTATTCAACATGTGATGCTAAATAACCGCATGTTCCACAAAATTGCCTGCTTAGGTAACACCAGCTAATTAAAATGGAGTTTTGCTTTATATGGGTTGTACTTCACTTTAGTTTAATTTGAACACTTCTGTTCTGCTCATCAGAAAAAAAAAAATGTGTGCATGTTCACTGTTTTCTGTATCATATTCTGGATTGTGTATGGCTGAGGATCGGAAAGCTCCTTGCATGTGTACTTGTTCTAGGTGTTTCTGTAAGGTGCAATATTGATGTACACCAGCATTTGAAATAAAACATTCTTTCTTTTTTGTTCTTTTTTTTTTTTATTATTCCCTCCAGTCAGCTTACAAATATATGAAAACAAAATCTCATTTGAGAGTGAAAAAAGAGTGAACATCCCTAAACAAATACCTGTGACACATTTCACCTACCTTATGTCAAGGCTGATTAGGAGGTAGAGAATGGAGGGGGGGTAGTTAAAAGACTTTCACTGGCCTAGAGGTTCATAAATGGCAAGTTAGATGCCAAGATACTAATTTTCTTAGAAAGAGGCAAACTCAACCACTGTTTTCCCACATACAGGCTGTTCAGTTACTGTGATCTAATCTGTGCTGTAAGGTTTCCAGGCAGAAGCTCCGCACTCTGGTGGTTTTTTGTATGTGGAGTAGCGTTCCTCCATATATTCTTCTTTAAGCCTTCTCACCTTCAGTCCTAGTTACAGAAATCATGGAAGAATTTACAATGGAAGGGACAGATGAAAGTGATCTGGTCCAACCCCATGCTCAAAGCAGGGCTAACATCAAAATTAGAGCAGGTTGTGCAGGGTCCTGTACAGTCAAAACTTCAGAAACAGAGATTCTGTTAGCCTCTGGGCAACCTGTTCTGTGTTTTAGCACTCATGGCTAAAATTTCTCATGTCCAGTTGGAATTGTCCTTGTTGCAACCTCTGACTGCTGCCTCATCTTCTTTCTGTGGGCACCTCTGAGAAATGGTTGGCCGTGTCTTCACTGTAACCCCCATTTAGGCGGTGGAAGACTGCAGTTAGATCCCCCAGCTCTCCCTTGCTGAACAAACCCAAACCCCTCAGCCTGTGACTGTACATCATGTGCTTCAGGCCCCTAACCATCCTGATGGCCTTTCCAAGGCTCCTCTAAACTGTTACGTGCCCCTGTTGTCTGAGGTGCACTGAACTTCACCAGACACCTGCTACTTAGCTCTTAGGGTTTGAGCCAGTACTGGCTAGTTTCGTATAGCACGTCATGTGAGCAAACCAGGCTGAAAAACTAGAAATACAACCCTGCACAGCAGGAAGGTATTGCTGCAGTCAGCACTAAATGCGGGCAGGAAGGACTGCAGGTCAGTTACCCCAGCTTGATGGTCTCCACCTGTATAAACCCTCAGCGGGCTTACTTCAATGTTTGTTCAGCAATGTTTGTTCCCCTGACTTCTTCTGTCCACTGGATTCCTGTTCGAATTCCTTGTCCTACTGGTAGCCTGCCCTGTGCTCCATCAGGGTGAAACATCCCTCTGCAAAGGGACAGCCTCCAGCCTAGGTGCTACCCAAATCCTATTTACATACTCAAGGTAAGGGCATTCTTCTACTTCAGTGAGGCCTGAGGGCTGAAGTGAAACTCCGACTGGACTATATAAGGTGTTGAGGTGTCTGAGGGGAGGACCTCCCTCTGGCAATGGTGGTAGTAGCAGGGTTTTACTAGCCCGTGTGTATATACGTCTTTGTCAAGTCAAGTAGCACCTTGAGAGCAGGCACAGAGCTGGCTCAAGAGATGAGCATGCAAGAGGGTGATGAAAGTCCGTGTTTGCATGCAACATGACTGTGCTTAGAAGAGAAGTGTCATTATTCTGTAGAATATGAGAGACTTTGTCCTTGGGCTTCACAACTGGAGTTTATTTGTCTTTTACAAATTAAACTGGTTCCTAGAGAGCCTTTCATCCTGTGACATGGTGCCTGTAGTGGCACAAGGTGCAAGGGCTTTATATTAATTCCTCGTTCATAACAGCTCCTGTGCCATGCTGAGAGGACACGAGTGAAACATCTGCTTAAATCTTGGCCTCCTACCAAAGCCCATAACCAACTCTAGGGCCTGCAAGAAAAGAAAGAATTAAAGCACACTTTTTTATGTAGACTAGTTGTTTTGGGGTAATTTCACATAGCGAAATTTGAACAGATTGTAAAATACAGGCAAGAGGTACAGCACACAGCTGCTGTGTAAACTGGTGGATTTTAAAATAACCAGAACTCCTCACAGCAAGCAAACACTGCTGGTTTAGGCAAGAGCTGACATTTACCAAGGATGGTGGAAGGAGAAGCTCTAACCTACCCTCTAGTGCTCAGGTTTCCTCAGCCTTTAAGGAAAAGCCAGTCCTGAGAAGAAAGGGAAGAAAGGAAGGATGGTAATTAAAGAGTGTAATAACTTTGAGGCTTTGGAAGGGACTAATATGAGGACTAAAAATGTAGGACATTGCTCAGTCTTAGTCCAAGATGATGTATCTGGGCAAGAGACTCTTGTGCATGAGGCATTGGGCTTTGAAAAAAATTAGGCTTCTTTAGACTAAAATAGAGAAGGCCTAAGGAGAAACATAGCTGTAGCCTTCGTGTGTGCAAAAGGCTGCTGCAGAGAGTAGGGACTAATGCGATCATGTCAGTGGTGAAGATATAAAGATATAGCACATCTCAGTTGCAGCGAGGAAGGTTCAGGGAGATCTCAGGGAAAATCTTCTAACTCTGTGACTAGAAAAGCCCTCTGATAGGTTTTGGCCGGGGGGCAGTGAAGTCTCCGATGTTGGTGCACTTTGCGAGCAGGAGAGGTAACTAGCTGTCAGGCATGCAGCACGATGCGGGCTGCCCTAGGGAATGGAGGTGGACAAGCTGGCCTTCGTTACGGCATCCTACAGTAAGGCATGAAAACACGCTTTTGCAGGTGCAGCATCCAACTGGAAGCAATGTCCCAGAAGAATCCTTTGCTGGAGCCTTGGCCAACATGCCGAAGAATAACAGAGGTAAACTTGATCCCTTGTTGGCTCAGTGAGCTGGGCTGGGTGATCCTGGAGGTCTTGCCAGCCACTGTTTTCTGTGCTTCCAGGTGAGCAACACAAGCGAAGGGTCACAGTTATGGTCATGCTTTTGTGACCTGCGCGAGCACAGTAATAACAAGCAAGGTTTTCCTTCCTCTTTACTCACCTGACAGGACTGTCTTCTACAGGCAGGGTCCCAGACCACAAGGTCCTGTCAACAGTTGTCCCCATGGAGCGGTGTGAGCCAGGGAAAAAAAAAAAAAAAAAGAATCCATCCAGAATAAGGGGAAATTGATGAATTTGTGAAAGCGTGGTCTGGCCTGGTGCTTGTGGCAGAGACTGGATTCTCTGTGTCCCAGAGGCCCCATCCAGCCTGCTGCATCTGTATAGGGTGCCTGCTTACCAGCTCCACTGGATTCAAAGGCTTCACCTACCAGCATGACAATCGATTTCACCTTACCTAAAGCACTTCAAACTACAGTGGTTTGGAACAGGGGAGACCAAAACCTTGTGCAACACTTTCTAGGCCTACCCCAGAAAAAAAGCTTCAATTTTCCCCTCTTGTTTTTTCTTGTTCTGATTAGCTCCATGCATTACTTGCTTCCTAAGGCACTACCAGAGCTAGGAGGCAACATCTTTGCAATACGCTTACTGAGCTCTGCAAATTTGGTGCCCTGAGCTACTCCTCACTTCTGAGATGCTTTCCTGCTTCTGCCCAGCTTGTAGGAGGCACAAAGCTCTGGCTCTGGTTGTTCTGTCTTCCTTGGGGCATGGGCAACAGTCAGATCACTTTAGCTCCTTGCTGCCTGGCTAGTAAAGCTCTTTTAGGGAGGCTTTGTCCATATTTCCTGAAGATGTAGAGCCACCTTCAGCAGACAGGGAGAAAGGAGATGGCAGTAGACCATGGTCCTGCAGAGGAAATCACCAAATGGCAGTCTGGTATTTGGAGTTTCAGTAGCATAAACAAGTTTAACCGTGCAACCACATGTTATTCTGCTGCGGCAGAACCTGCCTTGGCTTATGGACTCCCCTCTTCCTGAGGAGTCTGACATACACAGGTGTCACAGCCTTGGTGGCAAAGCCAGCTCCACGCTGCCAATGAAGGAGAGAGGGTCTTTGCCGACACACGGTGCCTGCAGAGTGGCATTGCTGCGGCACAGTGGCTTTTTTCTGTTTTAACAGTCCCATGCTGACATTGAGCCCAGGCTTTGCTCTTAGAGGTTTTGTTTTCTCGTGAGTTAATGACCTTTGCACTGTAGTGTTTCTCATTTCACAGCTGCCCCAGAGCCCTGCAGAGAAACTGGTGGGAGACGCACAGTGGGCTCGGAGGATGGCAATGGCAGGTCATCACGGGACAATGTGGCTTCCTCCCATTGTCCTCCTTTTCCTTCAGATGGTGCAGGCAGGTACAGCCTTTGCTTTAACTTGACTTTGTGCTGCTTTGTCTAAACCACACAGGTAATTATTTGCCATTATTTGTGCTTTGTGGACCAGGGTGACAGGAGTGGAAACCTGGTAGGTTTGCTTTCTCACCCGCATTGCTCCCATTTGTCTGCTGCAGTGCAATAATATCCAGGGCTTAGTTATTAGAGGAATACCATTTTGGACTGAAACAATTGTGTCAGTGTAAAATACAGGGTTAATATGTCAGTATGCAGGGCTTTCAAACTGACAGCACAAACAATGTGCTATTCTTCATGTCCTCAAGAGAAGTGACAATTAAATAATCCTTACTATCCATTCATAAGCTATGGGGTGACAAAATGAACCCCACAAGGTTTAACAGTGCAGAGCGGAACCAGAACCCCACACCATCACCCACTGTGCTTGTCTAAATCTCAACACAAACAGCACATCTCCACTTGAGGAAGCGTCCCACCTGCCTTTGAGGTTGGAGCCTGAGATGCTTCTCTGCAGAGTAAGTGTGTGAATCATTCTGCAGACATGATGCATGCCTTGTTGTTTAATTTTGCTGTAAAAGTTATCCAATGATTACAGAGGACTGGTTGGACACGACTGAACAAACACCTGAGTCACCCACATTACAATAGCTGGGAGTAAGAGGGAGATTTGGACATACCAGAGATGAGATGGGAAAGGTACTTAGTGGGACAAGGGGTGCCCTGAGAGTCTTCAGGATGCTTCAAGGAAAATTTTCTCTTACAAACATGTAGAAAGCAGTTTGGAGTATGCTAATCTACATTTAATTTTGAACAACAGACTAGAAGTGGCTGACAATACAAAGACAGAAGGTTAATAGAAGTAACTGTAAAATGACAGATCCTATGAAGGAAGTAAAGAGAAAGAACAAGAGAATAAAAGTAATGTATTTTTAAAAGAGAGAAAGATTTGGCTACTTCTTAAAAAAAATAACCACAAAACCCCGAAGTGTTTAAGGCACATGTCCAAACTGTCCCAAGGTCAAGAAAGGACAGGAGGATTAACTAAAAACATGAGCTCCTTCATGACCTGACCTCCCGAAGGAAGTATAGAAAAATCTGGATCTGCAAACATTCTGGACTTGCAAAATCTGGACTTGCAAACATGCTGGCATAAACCAAGAGGAGCTAAGGAGCAAATACAATAAGACAGACATGATGTGAAAATCAAGAGCTGATCTAAGTATCTGGATATTGGAAGACAGACCAAGGAAAATGTTAGTCTGTTCCTAATGGAGAAGAAAATCTTTATTCCTTAAGGTACCAGATTACTTGTGCGCAACAAGGAGGAAAGACACTGCTGAGTTGCACTAATCAGGAACAAATCACATCCCATCAGTCTTCTCCAAGGACAGCATAACAGGCTGGGTGGCTGCAAAAGATGCAGTACATGTCAGGTCTCTCTATTAAAGGAGGCTTCTAACATCATTTTATATAATGCTTTTATTGTAACAGAAAGACAAACACTGGTCTGGATGAAACTGCTGTAAGTTTGGTGCGCATCTGGTTGGGAAACTGCTGGTCAGTGGAAGGATTATGTGGAGTGCCGGGCTCCACAGAGGTGAGCCTGAGGACCTCTGGTACTGGGTAGTTCCCACCGCGACAGGCAAGGTGGGAGAGAGTGTTTACTCACTGCATTTGTAGCTCATTCCAGACTGGGAGGACTACCGTAAGTCGAGATGAGAGTTTAGGACAATCTTGTGAAACTGGAACAGTGGTCCAACATAAATAGGAGGCAATTCAGTAAACACAAACCCAAAATTTCACCCTCAGTCCCACAGTACACAACCAAGGAGAATTGTAAAGTATGTAATAAAAGCAAGAAGTCTCCATTTTCACTAGGATGAACAGCCAGGACAAGAAGTAATGGGATCACACCACACGGAGGGACACTCAGGTTAAAGAATAGGAAACACTTTTTAGAAGCTATAAGGCTAGTTAAGGAGCGGATTAGGCTACATGGGTGAGCTGCAGAATCTCATTGTGAATCTGTAGGAACAGGTTAGACAGCATCTGTTAGGACTGGTTTACCTCTCCTTACTGGCACACTGTTAGTGCTGGGAAGAGCTCTCCCATGCTGCCTGTGATCTTGCAGTGCCAGGGACTGAGCTAAAGTGAGTAGTATGAGCCATATACAGATGGAAAAGGAATATTGCAAGGGTCTACCAAGAGTCCAATACTTAATTTGTTACTGATACTTTAGCTGTTGCTAATTTTAGCCTCTTACCCACACCCATGTTCATCTTTGCCTTAGTACGATGGCTGTTCTGGCATGTACGGATTATCCCTTCCTTTGCCCTCAAAGACCTGCCAGTTATTGCTGGGAAACACAGAATAAGATGTAAAATAATAGTGGTCTACCTAATGTTGACACCTTACCATTTTTTAAATAACGATAGCCACAACTTGTTATTACTAAGGCCTTTGGCAGGAATTGCACAGTATTTCCCAAAATGATGGGGTGTTTGACTAATGTTTGCAAGCGAGGTTTTATGAGCTGCTTGTGCTTCTATGAAATCACCATGAATTTATAACCTGCCTATACGTTTGTCTCATTTGCAGTCATACCAAATGCATGCAAGGTCAACAACTGGAACTGTAAGCAGTTCTGCAAAACTGGAGATGAAGGAGTTGTATGTTCCTGTGCTGCTGGCTACGCTCTCGGCAATGACAACAAAACCTGTGTTCCTGTAGGTATGAAGCCACATTTAAAGTTCATTCTATGGGACACACATCACATCTTCACCACATTTAGTAAGTACTGGTGTGTTGCAGTGCTGTTGTAGCATAAGGAATAATGTTAACTGTTCATGTCTTTCACATGGCTTGCTTGAGGTGTTGCCAACAAAGTTATTAAGATCTTAGCTAAAGGTCATAATTTAAGTAACATCAAATTGTGCAACTATGAGTGATGCGCAGTGGCAAAAATAGCTCACGGAAATGTTCGGTGCAAGTGGGTGCGTTCTCAGAGCAGACTGCAAAACCCATGTTCCAGCAGGTACGAAGCCATATGAGAAACTGGTGGTTACAGTGGGGCTCTGATTTCTCTTCTCTCACAGATTGAAATAGGTCTCTCATGCTTCAGGAGGTTTTGTTAGAAAGGAATGTGTTAGATTTATCATTGGTGAGAACTGGTGTCTGTTTTCAAGGCCTCCAACTTGTGCTGGACACGTACAGATCCAAACGAGTAGGAACCCAAGAAACTTCTCCCTTTACAATATACAGTTCACATTATAATTTCAGCAGTAATGACATAATGTGATTGCAGTTATATCTCACTTGTTTCCCCTCAAATATCACCTGTTCCATTTCAAAGGAATAAAACCTGCCTATTTTCTTCTAGAAGCAGGTTTTCTGCAGTTAACATATAGTAACCTAAAGACATTAATAACTACTGACACTGAATTTAAATCCATCAGTTTTACCTGCAGTCAAAGTGAACATTAACAGTTATTAATCTTGGTCTATTCTTCTGTCTGTCTGATGATATGTTATAATGTCCTTTGTCATTTAATACCAAATTGCTGTCATGAGCTTATAATTCCTAACATAGAATACTTTTCTCTGTTTCCCAATTACAAAAGATTTAATAACAGCAGGTACACGAAAATAATTATGCTAATTATGGAAGGTGTTTAACTTTTAAATACTGTGAAAATGGTGAACCCATTTGCCCACTTGGTCAAAATGGGCAAGTTTTAGAAGTGGAAAAAGATTTTTCTTTTTCAACCATTCTGGTCCTTTTGCTTTTGCAAAGTTTTTGTTAATGTCTTGAAAAATCTAACAGAGCCACCCCTGATAAGGACACCTGCATATCTAATTCAATTGCAAAAGGCTGCTGTCAAGGAGTTTTCCTTGAACTGTTGAGTTTTCTCTTGTTTTCATGAAGAGTTGATTCCCTGAAGGCAACCTGTTTCCCTGCAATTTTCCTCCACTATAGGTACCTATCTGTAACTCTAATGGCTGCTTTTGACTGCAAAACCCATGTCCCAGCAGGTTTGATAATTTCTTGTGGTGAAGAACACCACGAGGTGCACTGGAAGCTAGATTTACTTTTCTGACCATGAAACCATCCCTTATACTGAGGGATCTGTCAGACAAGCTCTGCTGAATGGCAGTTCGGTGATAGGAATTATTTTCACCACCAACTGTCTTTCCTTTTTTTCTGCTGGAGGTTACTATCCCTTGCATGTCACTTGGCTTGGTGCTTCAGGAACAGCACAGGCACCATCCCCCACAGAGATGGAAGACTGTGGTCCTCCACATCCCATAAATTCACTTAAATCAGCAAAAAAGTTAGCTCTGAGCCAAAGTGAAGGCTGGTAACAGCAGCTGAACCTTCACAGCTGTTTCCTCAAGGTTATGGATGGGAATGCCTTGCTCTCGGCATGTGGCACGTGCCTCGAAGTCCCAGTACCATCCAGACATCAAATATTAGCATCTTGGTTTTGCCTTCACAGTCAAGTTCCCGTGTGGTAAGCTTCAGGGAAATCATGAAGCCGGTCAAGAGCAAGTCATAGGAACCACAGCAAGTCCAGATGCTCATCCTGAAAATGACGAAACCACCAAGTCCCCGAGCAGCCATTCGGAGGTCACCAGGGAGGCTGGCAGTTTACCCCGCGTGTCCCCGCGGCAGGTAAGATGCCCTCGTCCTGAGATGTTTATCACCTGACCCTCCTCATCAGGACCAGCAGCCATTTATTCTTCATCGTACTCATCCCCACTTGCCAAGGGGACCTAGCTTGATTTGAGACAGACTTACCTGGTGTCGACATTTTGGATGGTTGTTCCACTCTCCTGAGTACTGTGTTTCTGCACAGGTCTCCTACCATGAATGATGTTGTGCCTCCATTTCAGCATCAAGCAAATGTTGGGAAAGGGAGGCCAGGAGAGAAGAAGGGTTGCAGATATGGGACGTAGAGCTGGGTGAGCCACAGGGCCCCTTCCCTGCCAGCCACCCTGTTACTCAAGTTGCAGCATGGTGGTATCAGAATAGCCTGAGCTCCTGTTGTGGCGAGGGCTAAAGTGAAACAAAAACCCCAAGCAGAAACAGTGCTATTACAATATTAGCTAAATTTTGTTTAAAAAATAACAACAAAAATCTGCTGGTAAAATAACTGAATGCACAAACTCTACTTTGAGCCAGAAAAAGGTCTGTCTTGACAAGTTTCCCGCTGTGGTGGCTACATCTCAGTGAAACTCTCACCAGCTCTGAATGAGGGATGCCTTTGACAGAAAATACGTATGAAAATGTCTACTTTAAGAACACTGCTTGGATCTCAGCTAGCTGTTCAGGATTTCTCTGTATGTGTACTTTTGTGCTTTATCTTTCTTCTCTCTCTTTGCAGGTTGTTCTGCTAGTAGATAAGTACAATGAAAGGTTTTGTGGGGGGAAAATACTGAACGAGTATTTTACTTTCTGGAGCTCCTTGCGTTAACCAGTCTAAAGACTTACGGGTTCTTGTGTCCTGGTTTCGGCTGGGATACAGTTAATTTTCTTCCTAGTAGCAGGCACAGTGCTGTGTTTTGGATTTAGTATGAGAAGAATGTTGATAACACACTGATGGTTTAGTTGTTGCCAAGTACTGCTTATGCCAGTCAAGGACTTTTCAGCTTCCCATGCTCTGCCAGGTGCACAAGAAACTGGGAGGGGGCACAGCCAAGACAGTTGATCCAAACTGACCAAAAGGATATTCCATACCATATGACATCATGCTCAGTATATAAACTGGGGGGAGTTGTCTGGGGCGTAGCGATCGCTGCTCGGGGACTGACTGGGTATTGGTTGGTGGGTGGTGGGTGGTTGCGTCACTTGTTTTTTTTTCTTCCTGGGTTTTGTTTCTCTCTCTCGTTGCTCTCCTTTTCATTACAATTTTTTATTATTATTATTACTACTACTACTATTTCTTTATTTCAATTATTAAACTGTTCTTATCTCAGCCCACGAGTTTTCTTACTCTTGCCCTTCTGATTCTCTCCCCCATCCCACTGACGGGGAGGGTGAGCAAGTGGCTGTGTGGTGCTTGGTAAGTTGGTAAGTGCTTTTCATTTTGCCCTTTACTACAAAAATAAGAAACTGTCTTGCGTTGTAGTCTCCATATGCAAGATACTGAACTCTGCCGGAGTTGTTCTTACCCTCTTGTTATTTCTCACTGCTTCATGTTGTTCCTTGACTAACAGTGAAATACATGTTCAACTTTGTTGTAATGGACAGTTACTGTAAGCCTGGCTTGGCCTAGTGTAGCTTGTGTATGATAGAAGCCAAGTATAAACTGGAAAGGTATGTGGGCAAGTAAGGTTGAGCTGATGTAGTTAAATTGGTCTAACATTACACCTTCATGCAATTTCCTGTGTTGGCCAAACCTTGAAGAATTCCAGATGCCTCATTCAGATGTTAGCAATAACTGTTTTGACAACATGTGGATACCAGTCTGAGACTGTTCCATACTTGAAACCTCAAATTTATTGTTTATTACTGTCATTTATGAAAAAGTAGTTTATCACAAGTTCTAGGCACTGAAAAATGGTGTTCTGTCATAAAAATTGTACTCAGCCTACAACAGTAAAGCAAAAACTGTGTTTGCCTAAACTCCAATTGTCTGTCCATTTAATTCCAAAAGAGACTTCATACAAATTGAGAAACACTAAATATAAACTCATGAATTTTTGTATACAGAAGGTTAAAGTTTTAAAGGAAAATGAATATCTATTTCCTGTTTAAGTCTGTTTGACTATGTTGCTCTACAAATGAGAGGGGCAAGATCCTTCTCTTCTGCGTTGAGGCTTTTGGTTGTATATTGTAAGGGTGCCTTTGGGAATATTGTAATGAAGCCCAAAACTTTGTATCAAAACTTTCATTGAGAACATTATTCTGATAGCAAAGTTCTGATCTGCTACTTGATCTTGCATTTTGGCAGCCTTCTAAACCCCTCCAAAATGGGCATAAAATGCTACAACATCAGGATACAGGCCTGGTCTATTCTATTTGTACAGTACAATGCCTATACAAAGTGCAAGGAATTTTGGTCCCTTCTTTTATTAAGACGCAGTTTAGACTTGTTGGTATTGTCTTATTAACAACTACTTTAATAATCTGACATAGGGATTGTGGACAAAAAAAGTAAGATTCAAGTAGAGAAATGCACAGAGTGGAAAAAATAATTGCACATGCTGAATTTGATACAGAAACTTTCAACAGCAACATAGCCCTTCTCAAATTAGAGGAACCTGCCACATTTTCTGAGGATGTTGTCCCAGCATGCCTTCCAGAAGAGGACTTTGCTAATGATGTTCTGATGAAGCAAACATTTGGAATTGTCAGTGGCTTTGGGAACACGTTTGAACGTGCACAGCCGGTCAAAAGAATGAAAGTGCTTCAAATCCCTTACGTGGATGAGGACACTTGCAAGTTTGCCCTTCGTAGCCCAGTCACAGAAAACATGTTCTGTGCTCGTTATGATAAAGATGGAAAAGATGTCTGCCAAGGAGGTGGAGGAGGCCCTCATTTAACCAAATACCATGGCACTTATTTTGTTATTGGTGTCATCAGCTGGGGAGAAGGATGTGGAAGGTGAGGGAAATATGGAATATACACCAACTGGTCAAAGCTCCTACCCTGGGTAAAAAGTGTTTTGACAGAAAACTCTTAATGGTTTGACATTTAATCAACCTAATTGTCGTAGCCATCAGATCTGATCTCTAAGTAATATTTTCCTCTTTTTAACATGTTTGCTAAAATTCTGATAGTTTGTTCTTCCCTTAAGGGACACCATCTATTCCTTTATGAGCTAATGCCTGTTTTTCAGAAGGTGGGCTTGGACTTCAAACAGAGCTTGCTGGTTTTGGACAATAATGACATTTCTTCAAATGTGATGATTTAGGAATTTGTTTTAAGAACAAGTTCTGTCTGCAGGGACACTTATCCCAGCTGCTTAATTGCAGAGAGAATTGCAATTCTCACTCGAGATACATACGAAGGCACACACCATGTCATCTGTGCTCTGCCTAAATGTTATTTGAGTCCTCACAGAGAGGACAGAGTTTTAACTCAACCTATCCTGGAAGATTTACTTTGAAACTTGAATAAGCTTTTTTGCCATCATTTTTCAATATGGATGGATTTTTTTTTTTTTCCCTGTCATAAATGCAGAAGTCAACTCCCAAATGCAATCCAGCAGTGTAGCAGTTGCACAAGTCCACAGAGTCCATATCTCCCACGGCTTGGGAGTCAGGTTTATGGCAGGGGGCCACTCCTCCCCC